AAAAAAAAAAAAAAAAAAAAAAAAAAAAAAAAAAAAAAAAAAAAAAAAAAAAAAAAAAAAAAAAAAAAAAAAAAAAAAAAAAAAAAAAAACTGATGTGCTACAAATATTTAAAGAAGAGTTTAAAAATAATAATAAAAAATTATGTAGTTATAAAAATTCATTAAGTAATGATTTTGATGATAATTTGTATTTAAACGATGAAGAAAATAACAATAATAACAATAGTTATAATAATCAATATAATAATATTATTAGTAAAACAACCAAAAATAATAAAACATTAATACCAACTAAGAAAGAAAAAAGAGAAATGAAAAGGAATATAAGAAAAAAAAAAAGGACTTTCTTAGATTTAATTTATAAATTAAAATATAAAAGAGAAATGCCTGTTTATAGTTTTAAAATCAAAGATCATATATTATCTTTTTATAATTTTACATGTAAAAGATTTAATAATGCAAATTTTGTTTATTTTGATGATAAATTGGTTTTTCCTTATTTTACTAATTTGCGATTTATGCTAGTAATTTTACTTGATTACTTTTTAAAAATTGGTTTTACGTTATTTTTTATTGTAATTTTATTAAATAAGCATACAGTTATACATGATAAAAACTTAATTTATATACATGATATTCCTCTGAAAAATACTTCAGAAAAAATTTTAACATTTCCTTATAGCTTTGATTTAATGAATTATCCTAATCTTGAATTACCAACAAATTCTATAAATATCTATTATATAAATAAGGATATGGAAAATGATACGAAATTAAGAAATAAAAACAATGAGCCTAAAGGATATATTAAATTAGAATTACTTGATAATATATTTAAATTAAATTGGAATGAAATATATATAGTAGATAAATTTTGTTTATGTACATGTGTTGCCTATTTAATTATAAATTTTCTTTTACTTATGAGATCATCTACTTTTTTTGATATTTTATATGTTTCTATATTTAATGTAGTTCGACATTTATCCTTTTATTTTTCCTTAAAACAATTTATTTTATTTTTTTTTATGTTTAATGGAAATATTTATAATAGATATTATATATATTATGAAAAAAATATAAGAAAGTTAAATTATCATTTTGAATATTTATTTTTATTATTTTTTAATATTCAACATTTTATATCTTTAATCAAGCATCTTTCTCTCTTTTTTCGTATATTGTTTAATTTCAGATATGTTTATTATTATAGACAACCAAAAGGATGTAAGTTCATAAAAAAATATAAATATATTTATATAAATATTTTAATATATTTACATATATATATATATCTACTTATAATTTGTTATGAAAATTAATGAACATACATATAATTATGATAATTTTTAAAATAATGTATCTTTTTTTTATGTAGCTAAAGAAAATAAAAAGGATGAGTTAAGATATTCTGTAAGTGTTTACATTTTATATCTTTTATGCAAATATTCATATGCACCAGTTAATTTAAACTCATTACTATTTGGAAATAATATCTTAAATAATGTTATATTAATTGATAATATAAATAATTTTACATGGGTAAACATATTAAGTATTATATTATTTAAAAGTGTACAAATATTAATAACTAAAGCAGATTATTTTTTAATTGGTTTGTTTATTCTACACATCCTTTTATATATTATTTACGCTATTCATACTCAAATTCTTAGATATATAATTCTTAGAAAAATTGAAATTCTTTTTGTTTTTAAACATATATTAATATCTAAATATAAAGGAATACAATTAGTCCCTGATAAAAATTCTCCATATGTTACTTGTGCAGATATTTTAAAGTATTACTCAGAAGAAGGTTTTTTCTCTTCTGAAAGTAAAAAAAATATATATATATATATACATATATATATATATATATATTAAATTTTTATATATATATTTTTTTTTTTTCTTTTTAGGTAATATGATACCAAATTTTATATAACCACATAAATACTTTTTTTTTCAGTGAATGCTTATCTAACGCATTTTTTTTAAATCTTATTTTTTCTTAACTTTTTATTAAGTTTAAACAAAATTTTTATGATGTGTTATATATATATATATATATATATATATATATATATATATATATATATATATATGTATTTATTTATTTATAAAAAATAATGAAATTTATAAATACTCTTAAAAACTTTTTAAACAAAATATATATGGTATTATAAATATAATTAATATATGAAATAATATCAAATTTACTTAATGAAGTATAATTTTAAACATATACAAAAGTAAAACGAAAAAATAATTTAAATTTTTTAATCTACTAAATATACATTTATTCATGAAATAATTTACACATATATGTATTAATTAAATACTAATTCTTAAAAAAAATATAATAATAAGAAAAAAAAAAAAAAAAAAAAAAAAAATATAAATAAATATACAAATAGTATTTTTTTTTTTTTTTTTTTTTTTTTT